TTTCCGCCCCTACGCGGGAGCGCCCCAGGCCTGGGCCACCCATTTTAACACAGGCTTGAAGGGGGTCCTCCAACCCCAGGAGCGGCTCGCCCTCCCCGGCGGAATGGAGGAGTTGGTCTGGACCGGAGGGGGCGCCACCGAGACCCGGGCGGGGGCCGCCGACTGGTCAAATGGGGTGTGCGCGGTCATGGATGTCAAGGAGGTCATGGAGCCGTTCCACGCGGTTTTTGGGGAGGGAGCCGACATCATCGCCATCTGCGAGTTGTTTACCTTCCTGGTGCTCGCGGTGGCCCAGGCCCCGAGATGGGAGGGGCGCCTGGTCCTCTACGTCACGGACAACACCAGCACGGAGATCTGGCTCAACAAGCGGACGGCGAAGAACCGCCTCGCCCGCTACGGACTGCGTCTCCTCCAGCTCCTGGAGACCCGCCACGGGTTCCACGCGGTTGCGGCGGGAATTTGGACCAAGCACAACAGCAGCATGGACCTCATCTCCCGGGAGACGAAGAGCGTAGTCCAGGAGGGGATGAACCGCCTCGGCTTGGAAGAGATCGACCTCAAGGGACCCTGGAGGGAAGTGCTCGCGGGGGCGGAGAAAGGCCGCCCTTTGGTCCTCCCTGGAGACTCGGAGGAGGGACGCCGGCTGGCTTACCAGCTGGAGGAGCGCCGCCGGGCGCGGGGACCGCCCGCCGGACCCTTGGCCGGGGTGCAGGTCTTCGAGTGGCGTGCGACCCTCTCCCCCTACTGCCGGGTGGCCGGGGAGATGGGGGCACGGATCGGAGCCACCGCCCCCAATCCCGGTTCAGCCGTGAGCCACCCCTGGTGGGAGGTCCACCAGAATCGACTCGTGGCCGACCGGGCCGGGCGGGCCAGGACCGCGGTGAAGGAGACTTGGGTCACCTGCTCCAGTGGCAGCGACCCCACCGGCCGAGAGGCCCTCTACTTCGTGCGGTACGCGCTCTCCCACGCCGCCACCTTCGTCGCGCTGGACGGACCCCTGGACCAGGATCTGGGGGGGGCCCGCGAGGTCTTGCAGGAGGGTGGATACGACACTGCGGAGAGCGTGGTGCACACCCACCTCCTTGGGGACCGGTGCGCCAGGTCGCGCCGCCTCCTCCTTGCCTGGAGAGACGGGGGGAACTGGGGGAGCGCCGCGCTCGCGCTCCTGCGGCGGGGCGAGCGATTGGTCCCACTGAACCTCAGCAGCGCCCTGTTGACGCCCGAGGCGGTCCCTCCGGAGCTCTACATGCAGGAGGAGGAGGGGAGGGCCCACTGGCGCCACTTCAAGGTCCCGAAGAGGGCCGACCGCGGGGAGGGAGGGCGCCCCACCGCCCTCCAGGCGGCCGGGACCTGGAAGAGCACCCGGGAGTCGGAGGGGGACGTCAGGGTCATCCTTAGCCCGATGAGCAGCGGGCCCGACTACCCACTCTGGCACCCTGACGAGGTCTCCGGGCACTACCCCGTGCTATTGGAAGATACGCGGGGGGATGGCACCCCTCGGGGGAGGCGCTTCGACCCCAAGGAGGCCTGGCAGATTTCCGGGGGCCTCCTTCACGATTGGCGGGAGGGAACCCGAGCGGGGGTCCCCGAGGAGGTGCTCCCCATGGGTGCCGCCCGCTCCATGCCACCCGTCTCCGCGCACCAAGTGCCATGGGCAGCGGCCAGCGCGAGGGAGGGCCTCCTCGCGGAGGGAGCCCGGGCAGGGGTGTGCCGAGATCCTGATGGGGACTTCATGGCCGCGGCCAACGCGACGTGGTTCAGCGCCTGGAAGGCTAACCCCGAGGACCCCCGGACTGCTTACGAGCGGTGGCTCCGAGAGGCCCGCGGGGCCCGGGCTGGAGGACCACCCGGAGGGGCCCCGCAAAGCGGAGGTGCAGGCCTGCTGGGCGGCCCCCACTTGGCGGGGCCCGCTCCCCCTTTGCTGGGGCCCCGGACGCGGGGGATTGGGGGCTCCCTCGCCCCCTCCAGCACCACCCCCCCGACGGGGGCGACGTGGACTGAGAGGGGGGCAAGGGGCCCGCGCCTGAGGCGCCTCACCCCGAGGAGGGAGGGCGCGGTCTGCCCCACCTTCGCGTCCGCGGACGAGGTGGTTATCTACATCAAGGGGGGCAAGACCGACCAGTGCAATTTCGGATGCTGCCGCAACCACTACGCCACGGGCAATCCCCTTTGCCCTGTCGGAGCCCTCGCCGAGCAAGAGAGGCTGGCGCCCCAGCGGTGGACCTCGGAGGGAGACCTCCCTCTCTTCCGAGACGGGGATGGGAACCCCATCCGGCGGAAGGACATCACCGACCTCTTGGGCCAGGCGGCGAAGGCGGTGGGGATACATCCCTCGCACATCGGGGGCCGCTCCCTGAGGATCGGAGGCGCCACGGCCATGTACCACGCCATGCCGGACCTGGAGCGGCTCAAGCGGTTCGGGAGGTGGAGGTCGGGTGCCTTCCACGCGTACCTCTGGGAGGCGCACGAACCCCAGAAGGGCCTCTCGGAGGCGATGTCCGCCCAGAACTACAACCTCACCTTGGGGAGCTCGAACCGCCTGGGGCAGACCCCACCCGAGAAGGGGGGGGGGCGGGTCAAGTTCCGGGAGGAGCCCCCGGAAGAATACCACGCGCGCAGCTGACCCGGAGGAGTGCCGGCGGGAACAGCGTTGTCCCTCTGCCGCTCGGGCCCCCTCCCAGCCCCACCCGGTTGGCGGGGCGGTGAGCTGGGGAGGGGGGATGCCCGGGGAAGCCATGGCGGGCTGGCCGTAGCATGAGTAAGCGGAGGGGTGCTGCCCCCTCACCGTATGCCTGTTTTTCCCGCAAGCAGCTGGCACCAAGCTTGCGGCCTTGCGAACCCCTCGGGCTCCAATCTGGGGGAACCCGCCGTTTTTGACGGCGCCCAGTTGATGTAGCCCGTGGAAGGCCCCCCTCCGGGGAGCGGAAGAGCTGCGGCGGGAACGGTTGGTACGGTGCTGGATCCGGTGCGCCGCAGTGGTGACCCTGTGCGCCCGGGGAGTTGGCCTTCCGCAGCCCCGCCCCGCAGTGCCCCCCGGAGGGGCGGATTCTGTTTTCTGCAATACTGTTTCCAGTATTCGCGTTACCCCTCTGCAGCTGCAGCTAGTTGCGGTGCCGCGCTACTGTGATTAGTGCGCTTGGCACCCAGGGTTTTGCGCGGGGTGATGGCGGGCCCGCCTTCCTTCATTGGCGGACCCCTTGGGCCATTTTTGTTTGGAGGGAGGGTGGGCGCCGTTAGGGCGACCCCCCTGGGGAGCGGCCCGGGACGGGCGTGGGCGGAGAGCCTGCGGCTGTGCTCGTGGTCGTCGCCAAAACGGTGCGTCTCCCTTCCTTCCCTCCCTCTGCTAATCAACGCGAATGAGGGTGAATAGAGTTTTGTTTAGGCTTGGTAAACAGGGATATTCACCCACGGCAGTGCAACGGCTGCTCCCCTGTCTTCCTCCTCTTCCTTCCCTCCCGCAGCTGTTTCAGCTAGCTTGTGCCTTTTCCACCACCCACCCCTCAACTTTTAACTGTTCCCGCCCATCGAGGAATGGGCGGGCGGAGAGCCTGCGGCTGTGCTCGTGGTCGTCGCCAAAACGGTGCGTCTCCCTTCCTTCCCTCCCTCTGCTAATCAACGCGAGTGAGGGTGAATACATATGTTCAATTTTTGTGTTTAAACCAGCTGGAGGCGCAAAATCCGGCCTCACTGAGAGGATCAGCTGGGATAAACATTGAGCACTTGTTTGCATGGCTAATTTAACCTGTATATTCAGTCGGATCCGCAAAGGACGGCCTCACTGAGAGGATCGACTGTTTAAACGCAGATTTTAAACAGTTGAATTCGTTTCGCTTTTAACCCTTCGCTGTACGCTGCGCACTGGCGAAAGCGGTCTGGGTACATGCCCTAACGTCCTGCTCTTTCTCTTTCTCCTCTCGTTCCTCTTCGTCTCACTCCTCGACGACGACGACAACATCGACGGACGACGACGACGTCGACGACGACGACGACGACGACGGGCGACGGACGACGGACGACGGACGACGGACGACGGACGAGGGACGAGGGACGACGGACGACGGACGACGACGACGACGACGACGACGACGACGACGACGACGACGACGACGACGACGACGACGGACGACGGACGACGGACGACGGACGACGGACGACGGACGACGGACGACGGACGACGGCGGACGACGGACGACGACGACGACGACGACGACGACGACGACGACGAAGTCCAGCGGCCTGGCGGTTTGATGGCGTCGCCGCGCCGGTCGGCCGAGCTGCACGCAGCGGCTCCGAGGGGCCCCGGGGGGCACAGAAGCTGCCTCCGGCCGCCCTCTCCCTCCTCGTCGTCGTCGTCGTCGTCGTCCTCGTTCTCCTTGTCGTCCTCCTCGTTCTCCTCCCCGTCCTCCTCCTCGTTCTCCTCGTCGTCGCCCTCCTCGTTCTCCTCGTCGTCCTCCTCGTCGTCCTCCTCCTCTTCCTCCTCCTCCTCCTCCTTCGAGTTTTCTATCCGACTCGATGACGTACCAAGAGAATGAGATGCACATATGGGGATCCAAAGAGATGGGGTTTTTGTTATTGGCGGACCGCGCCGAGGGTACAGAGAGTTGATATGTTTGCATAGGTGTGGACCAGGCCGTGGGCCGTGGAGATGATTTCACAACTTGCCCATCGGCTTGCAGCGTCTGGTATGAAGTTGAAGCTTAAGGAGAGCAAGATCATGCCAGGCATGGGATTGGGGCCATCGCCGTCCTATGTTCTCTGCCAGCCACCCGGGCAGGAAACGATGGAAATTCTTTTGGTGACCGAGACGGGTCTCCTGGGAACACGCTGTGGTGGCGGGGCTATGGGGGTGTGCTTTACTTGGTTAGGAATTGTCGTGTGCTTTGGGGTGAGGCTGTGTGGTGTATTGTTTGTGTTTTGAGGGTGTGGAGGTTCCTGTAGTGTTTATTTTTCTTATTGTCATACTTATTTTTTTTCTGTTTTTTTATTTTTTTCAGCCAGCAGCGTGCAGCGGTTTTGCAACGCGGTTCTTCAAAATTGGCCGAGGTGGGTTTGCGTTGAGTTGGGCCTGTTGCACGCCAGTCACCGACGATCCGACGGCGCAGTTTCTGGCGGCTGGTCATCGGGCGCCTCGGTATCCCGAGAGGCGGCTGGGTCCTGGAGAATGGTCGAGGGTCGCGTCGAAGAGGCAGTCGCTAAACTAAAAGCGAGCAGGAGTGCATAAGGAGGACTGAAGGAAGGAGGGGCATGGGAACGTGGCCACTGCGTTGTTGGTTCAAGCTTCCGCAGTTGATTGCAACTTGGAAGTCGCTGGCGACCCCGCCCTCTGCAAGCATCGAGATGGGTTGCTGCATGGCGTCCTACCGGTCGCAGGCTGGGGCACTGCCAGCTCGCCGGGGGGAGGAGGGTGGAGGGGGGGGAGGAGGAGAGGAGGAGGAGCAGGAACAAGAGGATGAGGAGGAGGAGGAGGAGGAGTAGGAGGAGGAGGGGGAGGAGGAAAAGGAGAAGGAGGAGGGGAGGCGAGAACGAGAAAAAGAGGGGGTGGGGGACGGGAAGGTTGGACGATGAGGGGCAATCAGTCGGAAGAGAGATGCGAAAGAGGAGGAATGAGGAAAGAGGAGGAAGGAGAAAAGAGGAGGATGAGGAGGACGAGGAGGAAGGGGGGGTGAGGAGGAGGGAGGAGGAGGGATTGGAGGCAACCTCCAGTTGACATCCCGCCCCCTGCCCCCTCCCCGCCTCCCGCCCCGCCCCCCCTCCTTGATCCTGACCCCCACGACAATTCACAATATAAATACTACTCTCCTACCTAACAGCAAAGACTGATAGGTTTCTAATAGGGTCAAAAGAGCATCATGACTCCCCAGGGGGTCTGGGCGGCATCCGGGGAGCTGGGTCCGAATTCGTTTTTCGCAAACAGTCACACACTTCGTGCTCTTCGACCTCCCAGAACTCCATTCCCGGGCCACATTCTGAATGCCCAGAGCCAACTGTAGGCCACTTCGTGCTCTTCGTCTTCCCAGAACTCCATTCCCGGGCCACATTTTGGATGCCCGGAGCCAACTGTAGGCCACTTCGTGCTCTTCGACTTGCCAGAACTCCATTCCCGGGCCACATTTTGGATGCCCGGAGCCAACTGTAGGCCACTTCGTGCTCTTGGATTTCCCAAAACATTATCCCGGGCCACATTTTGATTGCCCGGGGCCACCTGTAGGCCATTTCGTGTTCTTCGAGTTCCCAGAACTCCACTCCCGGGCCACATTTTGGATGCCCGGAGCCAACTGTAGGCCACTTCGTGCTCTTCAAGTTCCCAGAACTCCATTCTTGGGCATGATTTTGAATGCCCGGGGCCAGCTGCAGGCCACTTCGTGTTCTTCGAGTTCCCAGAATTCAATTCCCGGGCCACATTTTGAATGCTGAGGCAGGCTGATGCTGAGGCTGAGGCAGGCTGAGGCTGGTGCAGGCTGAGGCTGAGGCAGGCGGAGGCTGAGGCCGAGGCTGAATGCAGACTGATGCTGAGGCTGAAGCAGGCTGAGGCTGAGGCTGAGGCAGGCTGAGGCTGAGGCTGAGGCAGGCTGATGCTGAGGCAGGCTGGGGCTGAGGCTGAGGCTGATGCAGGCTGAGGCTGAGGCAGGCTGAGGCTGAGGCCGAGGCTGAAGGCAGACTGAGGCTGAGGCTGAAGCAGGCTGAGGCTGAGGCTGAAGCAGGCTGAGGCGGAGGCTGAGGCTGAGGTAGGCTGAGGCTGAGGCTGAGGCAGGCTGATGCTGAGGCAGGCTGAGGCTGAGGCTGAGGCTGATGCAGGCTGAGGCTGAGGCAGGCTGAGGCTGAGGCCGAGGCTGAAAGCAGGCTGAGGCTGAGGCTGAAGCAGGCTGAGGCTGAGGCTGAGGCTGAGGCTGAGGCAGGCTGAGGCTGAGGCTGAGGCAGGCTGATGCTGAGGCAGGCTGAGCCTGAGGCTGAGGCTGATGCAGGCTGAGGCTGAGGCAGGCTGAGCCTGAGGCCGAAGCCGACGGGGGGGGGGGGGGGGGGGGGGGGGGGAAACGGCAGATGGAGGCTGAGGTGAAGCAGGCTGAGGCTGAGGCAGAGGCCAGGTGAGGTGAGCTGTGATGCAGGATGGATGCTGAGGGCAGACTGAGGCTCTGAGGCTGAGGCTGATGCAGGGTGAGGTGAGGCAGGCTGAGATGAGGCGAGGCTGGAAGGCAGACTGACGGCTGAGCTGAAGCAGGCGAGCTGAGGCTCAGGCAGGCTGAGGCTGAGGCTGAGGCAGACTTAGGCTGAGGCTGTGACTGCGACTGCCGTTGCCGCTGCTACTGTCATCGCGAATGCGACTACGACTGCGAGAACAGCAGAATTCTACAACTGGGTTCTCATTTGAATCTTAAGGGGAATGCTTCCAAATATGCTCCTACACATCGCTGTTAGGTTGCTTTGCCGGGATATTTTTTTACGTATTGTTTTTACGTATTGTTGTGCGTGTTGTTTCTACGCATTGTTTTTACGTATTGTTTTTACGTATTGTTTTTGCGCATTGTTTTGCGTCTTGTTTTTGCGCATTGTTTTTTACACGTTATTTTGTCTCACGTTTCGTATTGTGTTTACGTGTTGTTTTTACGTACCGTATTTTTCTCACGGTTCGACTAAACCCTCGCACAAGCACAATACGCGGGAGGATTTTTCGGATGAAGCGGAAACCCAAAAATGATGCCACCGCTGCAGCGGGAGCAACATTTTGGAAGAACCGAACACGGTCGGATTGAAAAAACAATATGACAACAAGTCCGGATAATTCGTCCGATTTCGGCTGAACCCTGTCCTTGGCGCGCCCCGCGCGCCAGGGTCGGGGTTCAGCTAAAATCCAGGAAATATGCTTCTGCCGAGGCCGATCGCCCTGCTGAGGGCGGCCGCGGCGAGGAGGCGGAGGGGGTTGGAGCTCTCGCCGCGGCTCTCCTGGGCCGCCTGCAGCAGCAGGCCAGGCCGTCCGTGGCGCCCCTGACGACGCCGGTCCAGAGGCTCGCCAGCGGGCCCTGGGGGGTGCGTTCGAGGCTCGACTTCAAGGTTTCAGGTTTTTCGTCCGCTTTGGCCCCCGAGTGCCTTGTTTCGGCCCCGGGGCCATCGGGAACGGATTTGGGGCGAAGAGCTGCGTCGGATGGATCTCCTGAAGGGGCACACAAATGGATTCTGAGTCTAGGTGCGCGACGCCTCAAGGGCAGTGCAGGGAGGAAGTGATACGGGGCAGGCTTTCCGAGGAGGCCGGGAGACTTCTGTGAAGCCCTCCCGCCTTCTCAGGAGTTTCCTAAGTTTAATTCCCAACCCTCCTGCGTTGGGTTCTCGTTTTGAATACAGCACTGCTCGCGCGTCTCCTTCCTTCCTTCCTTCCTTCCTTCCCGCCCCTCTCTTCCCCCCTTGCCTTTTGCCTCGCTCGTCGCTGCATGCCAGTTGGGGGGCTGCGATCTGCGAAACTGTCGCCACTTTCGAGGGCTGCTGGGGGGCCCAGCGCAGAGGGTACACACGGCGGACTCAAACTGGACTTCGCCATCCCTGGGGGCTGCGATCTGTGAAACTGTCGCCACTTTCGAGGCCTGCTGGAGGGCCCAGCACAGTGGGTACACACGGCGGCCTCAAATTGGACCTCGCCATCCCTGGGGGGCTGCGATCTGCGAAACTGTCGCCACTTTCGAGGCCTGCTGGGGGGCCCAGCACAGGTGGGTACACACTGCGGATTCAAACTGGACCTCGCCATCCCTGGGGGGCTGCGATCTGCGAAACTGTCGCCACTTTCGAGGGCTGCTGGGGGGCCCAGCACAGAGCGTACACACGGCGGACTCAAATTGAACCTCGCCATCCCTGGGGGGCTGCGATCTGTGAAACTGTCGCCACTTTCGAGGCCTACTGGGGGGCCCAGCGCAGCGGGTACACACGGCGGATTCAAATGAGACCCCGCCATCCCTGGGGGGCTGCGATCTGCGAAACTGTCGCCACTTTCGAGGGCTGCTGGGGGGCCCAGCGCAGTGGGTACACACGGCGGATTCAAATTTGACATCGCCATCCCTGCGGGGCTGCGATCTGTGAAACCGTCGCCACTTTTGAGGCCTGCTGGGGGGCCCAGCACAGTGGGTACCCACGGCGGGTTCAAATGGGACCTCGCCATCCCTGGGGGGCTGCGATCTGCGACACTGTCGCCACTTTCGAGGGCTGTTGGGGGGGGCAGCACAGAGTGTACCCACGGCGGATTCAAATTGGACCTCGCCATCCCTGGGGGGCTGCGATCTGTGAGGCTATCGCCACTTTCGAGGCCTGCTGGGGGGCCCAGCACAGTGGGCACCCACGGCGGATTCATATCGGACCTCGCCATCCCTGGGGGGCTGCGATCTGCGAAACTGTCGCCACTTTCGCGGCCTGCTGGGGGGCCCAGCAAAGAGGGCACCCACGGCGGATTCAAATTGGACCTCGCCATTCCTGGGGGGCTGCGATCTGTGAAACTGTCGCCACTTTCGAGGGCCGCTGGGGGACCCAGCACAGTGGGCACCCACGGCGGGTTCAAATGTGACCTCGCCGTCCCTGGGGGGCTGCGATCTGTGAAACCGTCGCCACTTTCGAGGGCTGGTGGGGGGCGGCCCAGCCCAGAGTGTACCCACCGCGGGATCAAGTGCGGACCTCGCCATCTCTGGGGGGCTGCGATCTGTGAAACTGTCGCCACTTCGAGGCCTCTGAGGTGCCCAACACAGTGGGTTACCAACTGCGGATTCACATTGGGACCTCGCCAGCCCTGGGGGGCTGCGATCTGTGAAACTGTCGCCACTTTCGCGGCCTGTTGGGGGGCCCAGCACAGTGGGTACACACGGCGGATTCAAACGAGACCTCGCCATCCCTGGGGGGCTGCGATCTGTGAAACCGTCGCCACTTTCGCGGCCTGCTGGGGGGGGCCCAGCGCAGTGGGTACACACGGCGGATCCAAATGGGACCTCGCCGTCCCTGGGGGGCTGCGATCTGTGAAAGTGTCGCCACTTTCGAGGCCTCCTGGGGGGCCCAGCACAGTGGGTTTTTTTTACCCCCCCCAAGGGGGGGGACTCAAAAGCTGGATATTTTTTTCGCCATCCCTGGGCTGCGCTTTGTGAAACAGTCGCCACTTTCGAGGCCTGCTGGGGGGGCCCAGCACAGTGACGCCGCACGCAGATTCAAATTAGACCTCGCCATCCTTGGGGGGCTGCGATCTGTGGAATTGTCGCCACTTTCGAGGCCTGCTGGGGGGCCCAGCACAGCGACGCCACACGCAGATTCAAATTAGACCTCGCCATCCCTGGGGGGCTGCGATCTGTGAAACCGTCGCCACATTCGAGGCCTGCTTGCGGGGCCCAGCACAGTGACGCCTCCCAAGTAGCTTACACATCAAGTTGATTGTCCATGCAAGTTTCGGCCAACTCCTTGTTTCCATTGATACAAATGAGTTGGGTGCGTCACAGGGTATTTTTCTGAGAAGGGGAGAGAACTTCGCAGAAGGCCTCGCAAGGGCATCCTCGTCCTGTCGTGGTTCCAACGCCTCTCGAAAGTGATCCGCGCCCTGCTGCGAGGAGTGGCGGCGAGCCTCCAACGGCATCCCGGGAGGAGGAGGAGGAGGAGCAGGAAGAGGAGGAGGAGGAGGAGGAGGAGGAGGGATGAGGAGGAGGAGGAGGAGGAGGAGGAGGAGGAGGGAGGAGGAGGAGGATGAGGACAGGAGGAGGAGGATGAGGAGGAGGAGGAGGAGGGGAGTCGAGGAGGATGAGGAGGAAGAGGAGGAGGAGGAGAGGAGGAGGAGGAGGAGGAGGAGGAATCAAGAGGGAGAAGGAGGAGGACGAGGACGAGGAAGACGAGGAGGACAAGAAGGACGAGGAGACGAGGAGGGACTAGGAGGACGAGGGGGACGAGGAGGACGAGGAGGACGAGGAGGACGAGTGAAGAGGAGGAGGGAAAAGGAGGAGGAGGAGGAGGACGAGGAGGAGGAGGAGGAGGAGGAGGAGGAGGCGAGGAGGACGAGGAGGACGAGGAGGGACGAGGAAGACGAGGAGGAGGACGAGGAGGACGAGGAGGACGAGGAGGAGGAGGAGGAGGAGGAGGAGGACAGAGAACTTCTCACGAAGCTGGCGGCCTTCTTGGAAGCCTCGCAAGGCCCGTTCTTGCTGATTTCTCCCCCGGGCGCGTCGCCCCAGAGGCACGCGGACAGGGTGCCCAGCGGCGAGCGCGGCCTCAGCCTCGTCGCGCTGGGGGCACTGGAAACCTTCTACGCCGCACAGGGGGCGCTCGGGAAGGT